TGACTTCTTATCTTATATTCTTAATTCTTTTTTTATTTCTTATATTCTACCTACAAATTATTCATTAAGGTTCGTTAAAACAACATGTAAGTGTCTTAATGAACATAATTCGTGATAACATGCTTTAGGAGGTTTTGATAAAGGTGATAATTTGATAAAATACAATTAAAATATCAAGAGTTAAAGTCACATTATTATTTATTTATTCATTTAGGTTATTTGAGTTAAGAAGAAATGACAAAAAAGCTCAACTGGTATATTTTTGGTGTTCTTTAATTAAATCAGTTTATTCCTAGATTTTATTTGGTGTAAAGTAATTTAAGTTGTTAATGGGTTAATTATTTGTTGCCATGGAGTCATTTATCTGTAGCACGAATTGACTATCATGACAATTGAAATTATGTGACGATACCTATTATTAATGTTATAATATTATTTTAATTAAATGTTATTCATCTTCTGAGAGATCTTGTAATTTAGACGTCACGAGACAATGCTTTGTATAATGATAACATCGTAACTCATATATCTTGTATTCGTATATGAAGCCAGCTAAGACGAAAACAGCACAAAAAACAACATCAACCGATAACACCGAGAGGAAACACCACATTATGCGTGGAAGTGTGCTGTGCAGAGGCTTATGCATGCGCATGCATATTCAAAGATCAGTTTCCATTTCGTGTGCGTAATCGGAAACGCATCGACACATCCAGCCGCTATACTGCCAATCAAGTTTGAACTTTATATGAAAGACATACACTATATTCTGTCACAATGAATCGTGAATGATTTATTCATTTTAAAATTGCCTAGTTCGGCAAATAGGAAGAGGTTCGCAAAAATAAACTTTTTTTGTACTAATAATAGGTATACTGGTATACAAAGCGTTAGTGTGTGACGGCGTACGGTGTGGCGGAAATGTGATATTTTGGGTTTTACTACATAAGGTAGATTGTTTAGCGACAGCTTGTCTTGTGTATCAACTGACTGATTTATTAGGTAGTTTTTTTAATCATTATGTTGCTAAACGAGCATATGACACGTTTGATTGCCAGATTGTAAATTGATACTGTATCCTAATAAATGCGATGCCAAATAGGTATGTATTTATAGACGTATTGGCCTGGAGAAACCTTATTAGGTATTACGTCCCTTTGAAGTAACACATGTGAGTTTCGATGTCTAGAGAAATCCTGGACAGGGAATATTTCCATAATATATAGTTTGGTGCTTTTAGTGTTTATTGCAATTGAATTTTTGTCGTTGTCTTTCAGTTATTTTCTCGTGGTACGCACAACGCTTAAGCTGTTGCTTATATTTATTCGCTTCGAAACTTTAACAACGAATTCCAGATTATAATACAATAATTCATATTCTTTTACAACTTGACAACGTTAGTTGCCATCAGAACATATGTAGCAAACTTTTTAAACATTTAAAACAAAATATTTTCTTTGAAACAATTTTAAACCGATTGTCAAAAGTAGAAACGTGTCCATTTTTTTTATTATAAATACAGAAATTGTTATTAAATAAATAAATATATTTTAAGATAGCCCTTGTTATTCGAAATAAAAAATATTGAAAAATATAAGATACTTTTTATAGTCTCAACATTTTTTATTTCGCATAATTTCGAATATAGCAACGTTTGTTGGCTCAGCTAGAAATATTTTAACTATTTTTTTTTGTCAATTTAACAAAAGCATATAAAAGAATATTTCTTACTACCTATGGATGTGGATTAGACTGAAATAGTCATATCCTTCACAACCAGTAATCTACTTTCCATAAAATAGAACTAATTGCTTTTTTGAATAACACAAGTAACACCGACTCATAAATCAAGTCATCTTAACGACATTTCGAAATGGACAAAAACCAACGACTTATATTTTTTACTGCGTCAAGAGTACATTATTATTGGAATATTTATGGTCACAGTGTTGGGAACTTGTAATTCGTTTGCGAAAATATTATTTCATTTCAATCATAAGTACATAAAACAGAAAAAGATTTTAAACACATTTTTAAAAAAAATATTCTGATATCTCTGTATATTTATCAGGTCTACAGTTGGAGAAATAAAAAGGTTTTTGTAATAAAATTAAAATACTTAATTACTTACTAATCTATAGGTTCCTTGAGATATTATGTAGTTGTAGTTTTTCATTCCAGGACGTAATAAATTAATACGAAAATTAAAAAAATATGTAAATAATCTCGACAACAAAAAATTTATACTCGTCTGAAATAAATTACTGATGATCTTGAAATGCCTGGACAGATCTTCCAAAAATTTAACTAAAAGCCATCAATTCATAGTCACTTTAAAAAACCTTATCATAATCGGTATATTTGTTAAGAACTATGATGTTAGAAACAGAGACACTCAAATAAGTGAAACACTCCTCTTTCAGCATTGGGTGTTAAAAATCAATATAATGAAGAATTTGATCTCACCGATGTATAGCGACTTACTCACAGTAATTATTAATAGCTCGAGTAATATACAACTCTCCTAATTGTTTAAATTAGTCTTCTAAGCTAAGAATATTAAACAAACAAATAAAAAGAAAAGTTTCGTATCCACCTACTAACGAGAGGCTACAAATTACAAAAGACATCGTCTAATTGTTTGGACCTGAAAGTCGTCCATTATTTTAAGTGCTAATGACAGTGTTAATTGACAATTTGACAGCTGTCAATAAGAATTGCACTCATTAAGAAGTCCGCTTATTCGTAGGAAGTACCTACGTGATGACAATTATAAGTGGGGTCTTAACTTATGTGATGAGTACAATGCTGAACAAGAAAGAGAAAGATTTGTCTTGAAGCCTTAATATAGGTAGATAAAAATACTTTCTTTTACATTGCCTCAATGTAAACCCAACGCCATTCCTCTTCTACACTATAGTGCATGAATTGGCATTCTACCGCGACACTGACGTTAAAGAAATACCCACCAATATACCACACCATGACAGGGGAAGATATTTAAAGCAAACAATCTTTGTGACAAAATATCTATACAAACTAGCAGTGGTTCTTTCTTTATCATTCTTCATTGAACTGCAGCATGTTAAGTACTTATGTTAGTTAATTATAAACAATACCTAAACTGATAGTGCCTATCTAAGTGGAAGAATAATATGTTTGTATAATATAAGATATATTTAAAAAAGGATCCAGTAAATAAGTACAGCACCTACCTACCGGGGGCAGACTATAAGCAGAAAAGAACTAGGTATATGTAGATTTTTTAATGGGTAACAATTGAATGGTGCTTTCGCCTGCGCCTACGGTTTACGCTGGAGGAGCATTAGTGGAGGATGATAAGTTGAGCATGAGGTCTGGTTAGTTGGCCCATCATTCACTAGAAATTTATGACAACGGTTTCCAGGGGGAACTGCGTGGAGGTCACCCTGAGATTGGAAATTGCTAGCAATTGATCATTACTCTAGATTACTAACAATCCTCTTCAGTGTTATGTAATATTATGTTATGTAGTTAGTAATAGGGCCTATTGGCTCCATAGCAAGCAAGTTTTTCAGGCCGAATTTCACGCAGTTTCCTCTAGAAATTCCAGGTGAATTCGTTACGATTACCTAACTGACCTAACTTCATAATAATCGGCGTTCACTAGTGCCTTGACAGCGCATACCGTTAACGAAGACGGATGCATCTTTCCATAGTCATTCATAAAAAAACAAATACACATGGTAGGTACTTACTTACTATAAAAATCTAGTTAGTGAGCGGTCAGCGATGGTAGATAACTCAGAAATCGTGCAGATATTGATATCAAAAAGCGGAAGCGTGTTATACTCAATCTACCTACCTATTATTACAAAACGATGCGTAGGAGTGCAAGTAAATTTATACAACGTAATGTAATAAGTAAGTATACGTACCATGTCTAAATTATTATTCGTTAGATAGGCAGCTGTTCTGTATTGAACACATACATAACAAAACATTACAGGACTAGGTACATACATACACATATTCATAGAATTGATCGTAATAGTATTGCATTTATCCTATTAATTTTTTTATTACCTAACTATTTCAGTACCCTTACTGATATACCTACCTACTATTAAAAAATATGGTACAATAATATATAGGTCTATTATAGTACCATATTTTTTACACTAACTGATTCTAGTTATGGGTACCTACCTATACTTTGATAGACAAATTCTGACTATTACATCAATGAAGTAGAAAATGTATTAGCTAGGGTAATAACATTTTTAGGAATTATTCCATATTTAAAAGATGATTTGTAATGAGATGTGATAAAATCGACAGGTCAGGATCATAATAATCACTTAATCAATGGCCTTAAAAATATTTAAATTTGGGAATAAGATTATAAGTTATCTTACCTAGTTAGGTACGTACACCTAAAAGATGATCTTAATAGTTGTGCCTAAAACAACTTTAAGAATATATCAATATACCCAAAACAGCATATAAAAGTTAAAAGTACAAATATGTATTAATAAGGAGTCGATATTCGTAATGAGGCAGGTAGGTAGTACCTACGTACTTGCATATCTCAGATTATAAACTCATATTTTGATCTGTAATTTCTCATCAAGTCGGACAATCAAGACTACCTACCTGCAGTACATACTAAACTTTAAAATAGACAAAATACCAACCTATTTTTCTGTAAAAGTTAAGATTTTACTTGCTGTTATTTAATCGATATATCTACCTACCTACATCTATTTATTGTCGATTGAGTTTGTATACTAAAATTAACTATTTGTAATAAATAAAATGTTATTAAAGAATACCGAATAATTGATATACTAGTATAGGTACTAATAATAAATTAGTTACATATTTTAATAAATACTTAAACGTAAAACACAAGACAATAAATAAGAGTGTATTTCAATTACTAATAATTTATAGATACTTATAAGGTCCTTCAAACATGCAATATTATATTATAATTAAGGTAATAAAATTAAACTAACCTGCTAAATACGCTGACGATAACCATTATACTTTTGTAAATAATCCAGCGGTTGTTTCGATCAAATGATATTGATTTTATTGTCAATAAAATCTTTTAACAATCAAGAGTCGCTACAGAAAACAGGCACATTTCCACAAAATGCACATCTTTTTCTTAAACGCGTTAACGATAAACAAGATACAATCGTACGAACGGTCACATCGCGACAAACACTTCCACTCTCAACGAAGGACGGCAGGCGACTAAATTTCTGATTGGTCGACGTTGGCATCGCGGCGGAGATGCAGCGCGTGCACATCGCCCCGAACCCCAAAATCACATCAAATATTTGGAACTACTGCATAAAAAACCATAAAAACGCTTGGTATATGAACCTCGGCATCGTATGTGTAACCAGATATCTTTGTAACTAAATAACTTCAAATAAAATATTTTTTCATGTGCGTTATATTTTGTACTTACTGTAATTCCAAATTCGCTCTAATTTTGAATAAAAATAATTTGAATAAATCCGAACATTTAAACACTAAATTGAACAATGGAATAAATTCTTTTTTCTACGTTTCAATCAGAATTAATATTTATGTTAAAAATAATCTAAAGATTTTATTCAATGTTGAATTGTGTTTTTTTTACGTAAGATGCAAACACATAAAGAAATAAAACAACAGAAAAAGGAAAGACGTTAAGAATAATAGTAATATATATACTATAACAACATAATGTATTAATAAAAAATACTTTATATTCTCAGGGTGTCACGGTGATCCTATTTTATTCAACATTTTGAAATAAATACCTAGGTATATAGGTATGTCAAAAGCACTGTGTTTCAAGTCTCAGGTAATATCACTAGGGTGACATTTGTCTGTGTTAGTCACCTGTGTCGCTGTATCCCTATATTATTGATGCTACACGCCTCTTCACTCCCTTTTGCGACGCATACTAATGTAGGCATATCATTGACAACTTGACAAGATTATAGTAACCTTCATACAGGGTTGCCATTTGCTGTAATTGAAGTTTTATGTTTACAAAAAGTTGGAAGCATTTTACTTAATTAATCATATGTATACCTTTGCATATGTAAACATATAGAAACGTTAAATCTGTATTTAGAAATACTGTATTATAAAGGAATAGTGGAGAAACAAATAGTGGACTTTTTTAAATATTTTATTATTTGATACCAGTATTGTATTAGGATAAGTACCTTAAAAATCATTTTGAAAGATTGTTTAACCAGTTGGTTATATATTCAATATTTTTTTTATTTGAGTATTAAATTGAATTAGTGCTAATTGGTGGTTTATATTCATCACTTAAACTTAAAAATGTAAAGTAATAATAAAATTATTTAAAAGAGCAACACGCAAGTTTCTTGCTCGGTCTTCTTGTGATGAGACAGCTTTCCGAATGAGCGGTAGTTTAAAAAAATGTAATAACTATTCAAAAGTGCTTCAATGTAAGTTTATTTGAATAAATGATTTTCTGTTCTATTCTATTCTTTACGAACTATAGGCATTAGATATTTACGACTCGACAATTGTAAGATACCAATACAATTTTCATGATCAATTGGCAATATACTATCCATAACAAGACTGCAACATGACCCCATTACTACTGGAGTTTGATCCATAGCCATATCCAATCTGTAATCAATACCGAGCCCTTCAATAACCTTACCGTTTATTTTATCGCTTACAACAACCGTTACTCCTTCAATAGTAGTACATGCTACAAACTTTCCCTATTCCAATCACCATTTATATTACCAGTAGATCAAAACTTACACTAGCTGTATTTCTAATCTATGGTCACGTAGTTCATAAGCGCACGCAACGGTGTCTTTTATTACGATCAGTCGCGCCCCTATTCAACTCTTATCGAGATCTCACAGCTTCCTAAATTAGAATCGAGATGGTGAGATTATCGTCAATCGAAAAGGGTGCAGAGACGTCATGCTGTGATCATATTGGGGTCACTAGTATGCGGCCACCTGTACGACGACGGGGATATACCTACATCCAAACAATTTGTATTTTGTTTTCGAGACGTTAATTACAACGATAAATACACAAAGGTTTTTCGTTCCGTATTGGGTGTGGTAAATAAAGTCGGTATGTTGTTCTACCCTTCCGTTTCTTATGGACATAGTCGATAGATAGAATAACATTCTGTTATTCTACATTTGATTTCCGTTTGGGCGAATTGAGCTTACAAACTTTTTCTAAAGATGTTATCTATCTATCTATCTAAAGATATACAATTCTAGGTCCTCCTGGTGATAACATGTTATAATAAATAACACGAAATAACACCACTTGTTTAATTAACAAGCTAGATTCATTAGACTGGGTTACGCATTGTAATGGAAACCAAAATTTAGACAAACTATGCGCGCAAAAATAAACTCTGAGTTAGCGTCACAGGAGACAATCAATATTGCCATAATTGATGTTGGCGGCCGACCGCCACGAACTCTTTTGATATTTTCATCATTTTAAAATTTATATTTTTAGAACAGTTCTTTTTATATGCCATGTTTTTTATACATTTCGCTTATTTACCGTATTTTGTAGATGTATTTTAATATATTATACTATTATAATCTACGTCTTTTCACGATTCAACCATTCAGTCCACATATCTGTTATAACTTGTATAAAATATACAACAATATATATGAGACAACGCACGATAAAGATAATGTCTTTATCTAAAGATATTTTCATAATATGTTTAGATTGCTGAGATTCATTTTGTTTTTACAAAAAATAACTCGAAACACGTAAATCCGGAGAAACATGAATATTATGTTCATATTAAAGATTAAATTGGTTATTAAACGTTACAAGAAATTAGACGAACACGCCAATTGCTAATGACTACAAGCTAATAGGTACTTTATATTGTAGTTTTACATTGATTCTTCAGGGTAATGAACTATAGTCTTATGGGCATAATGAGATACTGTCGTGATTACTTGCATACTTGTATGCAAATTATTTAGTGTGGAAATTATTTTGCTATGTCTGTAGTCACTTAAGTAGTTTGTCTGTTCAAATTAATTTCTAAATATATCAATTTTATAATGCCTTGAATTGAATGGCAATCATTCAATCAAGAATAATAAATATGAAAATGCTACCATAAGCTTATCAGACATAACAAAATTGAAAGATGGCTATATGATAGGAACTTTTCGTAAAACAATAAAAAAGGTTTCCATATGTATATGTACATTTATGTACATATATGTATACATTAATGATGGAAATGTTCATTACGTTGTATTAAATATATTTCAGTCATATAGGCCTACTCTTGCAAGGCCACTGCTCTGCTATTCTAAATAAAGAAACGGACCAAATATAGGACTATATAAGCTGATGGTTTTGTATGCAAGAGTCGTACTGAATAGCCTTAATATGGACGTGCTTATATCTTATCCGTTCATAAGCGAACAACTGGTCAGTTCGTCATGGTATGTCATATTAACAGAGCAATTCTTATTACTCATAAATGTCAATAGCCGCCGAAATACCTACCAGTATCTCCGGGCCCGAAAATAGAAAGTAGAAAAATATCTTAACATATACCATACATTAAAAATTTTTATTTAGTTCAATTTTTATTTAGCTCTGTAGTTGAAGCTCCTTTCAAGCATAAAATTGCCTGTGCCAGAAGGCTCCACTCTGCCATATATACTTAGTTTATAGAAGTTTTGAAGTACCTGCATGTTCTATTAAAATAATTAAAACAATAATTTGTCTCAAATACGAATTTAGATAATAAACAAAATCATCGTCTCATGTGTGTAGTTATCAATGTAAAGATCGCTCAGTAATATAGAAAGCTTCCCTAGGATATAGTTTTTCCAGAAATTCTTGACTGCATACACAGATTAGTGTGACATATTACCTATTTACTCTAACATTCTTCTTCACGTATATTAGTCCATCGGTGACACCTTTCATATTCAAAAATATTTAGTCGTTATAACCACAGATAACATAATTTGTTATAACTATTACGGGATGTCTTATCTCTCTTATTTTGACAACCGTGCATACAAAATTGTAATGGTAAAACATTTTTTTCATATTTACAAGCAGTAAACGTATTTAATCTATCCACCATGGGAGTTTTAAATAAAATCTCCCTGATGGAAAATATGCATAATGTAAGTATATACGTACACAACTTTTCTGCGTATTTGTGATAGTGGTTATCTTTGAAGAAAAAAATCTTCTAATCTACTCATGCAATTTTTCTTAGTATTTATCATTGCTAACTATAAGTAAGTATACATTTTTTACTTAGATATGAACTGATATTATTAATATAAACATACATCTGTCTGTTTATTACATTTTCAAGTGAGTTTACGCAGAATCGACGAACTTCAAAGATAGATTATAGACTTATAAAAACTCTGTTACAAAATATGAACCAAACTCGTATAATATCTAAGATTTATCGACTGTTAAACAATAAAATATTAAAACATGTAAATTGTGCACTTGGCATGACAACTTCAGGTAGTATGAAATGAACCACGAATCAAGTTCATAGCGGCACTATGTAAAATATACAGCCACCTGATGGTAACTGGCAACCACTTATCATCCAAGTCGTTCGTTACCTTTTCTCCAATCTGTTAATAAGAAGTAATTATGACAAGAATTCTATCAAATTGTTGGGAGGATGCATGAGGATAGCTAAAAACTAAAACGTGCTCATGAATATCAGGTAGCGATTAGCTTGTTTACAAAATCACTATCATAAATGTATGAAAATGTTAAAATATCTAGTATTGCCTACGATATTTCGTAAAGGAAATATAATTATTTTTTACTTTTTAAAACTAGCTTAAAAGTCGATACTTATCACCGGCTGTATTATAATTACTACTTTCACAATGTAATGATATTGTTTTACATTCTTATATATTAATTTACGTACTGAATCTGATATGATAGTGAACTAAAATTTATAAGATTTTAGTCTACACACAAAATAAAATCCCCGTAGATAGTATACACCGTCGTTAATGTAATAAGTAACAACAATAGTTGCGAAGTAACTATTTTGTAAATTCGTCATTACCCTTCATTAAAGGGCCAGAACTTTCTATTATGCATAAAGACCTTAAGTATAGACTCTTGGCCTCTTCACAAAACGTCGGTACAAGGGTCTCGGGTCAGTTTGACCT